TTACCAACCCCTAGAAATAGAGTATATCCACAAATGCTCAGAGACAGAGGACATGGGCTGTCCTTGTATGCAGTAGTCCTCATCAGGTAGTCCTTGGAAAGCTGTTTTCTCCAGATGTAAGAGGGACCAGAAGAAGAGGAGGAAGATCCAGGGCAGATTTCTCTAACACCTTGACTAGAGAACAGGATTCTGCTTTCAAATTTTAATGAAACCAATACCCTCTGGGCCAACAGCCTGTTTGTCTTCTGGTACCAATGAACAATCCCCAATTATCATGGTTGTATACTTTTCTTTGTCTAATCAACTAATGTGTCAAATCTAGACTGCTGCTTCTTAACAAACTCAATAAACTATTGGAAATTGCTGCAGATTGTTGACTGCCAATATTAGGTCACTGTGATCAAACCCCCTGCCAAAATCAACAGTAGTGAGCTGTGTTCTTGAACCATAGTAGTGGATGTTGGATAAATTCATCCTAACAGTGTTGTTAGTTGTTGCCGTGCATTTGTAGCTAGTACACGTTGCTACCACTATGCATAAGTGGTGCAGAAGGTGAGTGTTGAAGGTGTTGGATAGGTGCCAATTAAGCAGGTTGCTTTGTTTTGGATGGAGTTGAACCTCTGGAGTGTTGTTGGTCCTGTACTCATCCAGGCAAGTAGGAATTATTCCATTGCATTCTTGACTTGTGTCTTGTCAGTATTGGACAGGCTTTGAGGAGTCCAAAGGTCAGTTACTCACTGCAGATCTCCCAGCATCTGACCAGCTCTTACAGCCGTAGCTTATTTATGGCGGGTTCTGTTCAGTTTCTGGTCATTGGTAATGTCCAGAAACTTAGAAGCATTGAAAATAGGAGTAGGCCATTTGATCCTTCAAGCCTATTCTATTATTCAATATGAACATGATTGATTATTCAACTCAGTACCCTGTTCCAGCTTTCTCCCCATACTCTTTAGCCCTAAGGACTACGTTCTAACTCCTTGAAAGCATTCAATATTTTGGTCTCAGTCAGAATTTCACAGGCTCGCCACTCTCTGGATGAAGAAATTTCTCCTCATATCAGTCCTAAATAACTTACTCCGAATCCCTAGACTGTGACCCGGCTTCTGGACTCCCCACTCATGAAGAACATACTTCCTGCATTTAGCATGTCTAGTCCTGTTAAATTTTATGTGCTTCTATGAGATTCCTCCCCTCAATTCTTCTAAACTCCAGTGAATATAGTCCTAACTGATCCAATCTCTCTATATGTCTGTTCTACTATCACAGGAATCAGTCTGGTAAACCTATGTTGCAGTCCGTCCATAACTGGAACATCCTTCCTCAGATAAGGAGACGAAAACTGCACACTACTGCACATGTGGTCTCACCAAGGCCCCCTATACAATTGTAGAAAGACATTCCTGCTCCTGTACTTGAATCCTCTGACTGTGTAGGCAAACATACCATTTGTCTCTTCACCGTTTGTTGCACCTGCATGCTCACTTTGATTGGTGTACAAGAACACTCAGGACTTGTTGCACCTCCCCCTTCCCCAACCTGTCACCATTCAGATAATAATCTACCGTCTTGTTTTTGCTACCAAAGTGGATAATCTCACATTTATCCACATTATGCTTCATTTTCCATGCATTTGCCTACTCACTCAACTTGTCCAAATCACACAGAAGTATCTCTGCATTCTTCTCACAGTTTACCCTCCTGCCCTGTTTTATGTCATCTGCAGACTTGGAAATAGTGCATTTGGTTCTTGCATCAAAATCATTGATATAATTTGTGGATAGCTGGGGTCCAAGCACTGATCCCTGTGTCACTGGCTGTCACTCCGAAAAAGACCCACTTATTTCTACTCTTTGTTTCCTGTCTGCCAACCAGTTCTCTATACATGTCAGTACACTACCTCCAATGCCATGTGCTTTAATTTACAAGTTAATCTCTCATGTGGGACCTTGTCAAAAGCCTTCTGAAAATCCAAATAAACCACATCCACTGACTCCCCCTTATCAACTCTACATCTTGTATCCTCTCAAAATTTGACTATATTTGTCAAGCGTGATTTCCCTTTTGTAAATCCATCCTGACTCTGTCCAGTAGAGTTTTCCACTGTTTTTGGTTCTTAAATCTTGATAATGGACTCTCGCATTTTCCCCCAATATTGATGATAGTCTGATTGGTTTATCATTGCCTGTTTTCTTTCTACCTTTTTTAAATAGTGGAGTTGCATTAAATACTCCATAGGAGCCATTCCAAAGTCTATAGAATCTTGAAAGATGTCCATTAGTGCATCCAGTATCTCTAGACCCATTTCCTTAAGTACTCTGGGATGTAGATTGTCAGGTCCTAGCGATTTATCAGTCTTTAATCCTATCAAATTCCCCACCTCTACTTCCCTACTAATACTGATTTCCCTCAGTTCTTCCCTTTCTGTAGTCCCTATGTTCTCCAACATTTTTAGGGAGTTATTTGTGTTCTTTTTTGTGAAGACATAACCAACATATGTATTTAATTGGTCTTCCATCTCTCTGTTCTCCATTATAGCTTCACCCGTTTTGGACTGTAAATGACCTACATTTGCATTCATTAATATTTTTCTCTTCACGTACCTCCAGATATTTTTACAATCAATTTGTGTGTTCCTTGCGAACTTACTCTCATATACTCTATTTCCCCCTTAATCAATCCCTTTGTGTTCTTTTGTTGAACTTGAAACTGCTCCCAATCTTCAAGTCTGCTGTTTTTCTTGGCCAATTTTTATGTTTGTTCCTCGATCTAATACTATCCCTAATTTTCCTTGTTAGTATAGCCACTTCCCTGTTTTTATTTCTCTGCCAGACAAGAATGGACAGTTCAATTCTGATTAAGAGTCACTGGACTCAAAGCATTAGCTTTTCTTTCTCCACACAGATGCAGCCAATGCTGCTAAGTTTTGCCAGCAGTTTTTGTTTTTGTTTCAGATCCCCAGAATATGCAGCTGTTTGTTTTATTATTATAAGAATGAATAATTGTTGCAGCTCCTCCATGCACTCTTTAAATGTTTGCATTGCCTATCCACTATCATCCCTTTAAGTAAAGTTCCCCAAATTATCATAGCCAGCTTGCACCTTTACCAACTTTTACCACCTTTTATTTGGATTCAGGACCCTAGTCTCAGAATCAGCAACATTGCTATCCATATTAATGAAGAACTCTATCATAGGACATTGCAGGGCTGCAGAACTCAGATCTGATCTGTTGGATGTTGTTTTACTTAGCTCTGTTTAATGTATGTTACTTACACTGCTTGGCTAGTAAGTAGTCCTATTTTTTAGCTTCATCAGGTTGACTGCTAATTTTTATGTATACTTGGTGCTGCTTCTGGCACGCCCTCTTGCCTTCTCCATTCTATTACAATTCCTGTACATTCCAAGCTTAAATCTTGCCATACACAGTGACACTGTCATTCATTTGTTATGTTAACTGTAACTGGCTTGTTTGTTGTATAAAGGGCAAATAATCTCAAGTAATAATGCAAGTTCAGATTTATGAAAATCCCATTAACCAAAACAGTTACCATGCTCTTTCTTCAAATGTATATAGATCTACTTGTTCTTATCGTTTCTTACTATTTGTTATCATTTATGACAATCACTTGTTCCATTTAAAAGAAACATGAAAAGAACACCATAAAGGCATCAAAAGCACACCACTTTATTTTGTTTTCAGTCTCTCTGTTGATTTCCACCCATGCACTACTTCTGGATCAGTAGGACAGCATTCTGCCTATTCCAGCCTTCTGAGATAACAAGGTGTAGAGCTGGATGAACACAGCAGGCCAAGCAGCATCAGAGGAGCAGGAAAGCTGACGTTTCAGGCCTAGACCCTTCTTCAGAAATGGGGGAGGGGAAGGGGGTTCTGAAATAAATAGGGAGAGAGGGGGAGGCAGATAGAAAATGGATAAAGGAGAAGATAGGTGGAGAGGAGACAGACAGGTCAAAGAGGCGGGAATGGAGCCAGTGAAGGTGAGTTAGGGAGGGGATAGGTCAGTCCAGGGAGGACAGACAGGTCAAGGGGGCGGGATGAGGCTAGTATGTAGGAGATGGGGGTGGGGCTTGAGGTGGGATGAGGGGATAGGTGGGAGGAAGGACAGGCTAGGGAGGCGGGGACAAGCTGGGCTGGTTTTGGCATGCGGTAGGGGGAGGGGAGATTTTGAAGCTTGTGAAGTCCACATTGATACCATTGGGCTGCAGGGTTCCCAAGCGGAATATGAGGTGCTGTTCCTGCAACCTTCGGGTGGCATCGTTGTGGCACTGCAGGAGGCCCAGGATGGACATGTCGTCTGAGGAATGGGAGGGGGAGTTGAAATCTCTATTCGAGCCTTCTGTCAGCTCCACACTAACCAAAATAGGTCTACATGATTAACTGTCAACTCATACTGTTGGTTGCATACTTGTTAAGATACATGATATAGGCTGTGCTCCAAACTGTAGCTAAGGCTAGAAATTCATTTGTTGGCAAATTATGATGCAAATCTGGATCTTGACACTTCTTGACATTTCGAACAGATAAATGCATTTTAAGACATGGTTGGACTTAAATTAAACACTTTCTAAAGAACAGTTTCATTCTGTTTAGTTTTGTATTTGTATTTTCATCCTTTGTGTTCAGAACTGCAGGATTCCTGTGGGTTGGTAAATGTAACTTCAGTAGTGAGGAGGGAGGATCAGACCTATTACTTATAGATGTTGTGAAGGAAGTAAAAACATTTCTGGTTTTGGAAACCTGAAGGACCAAGTAAGCCTACCAATACAAATTACTCAAGTTTTCAAACTACTTCTGGTTTTTATTTTTATTAATGGCCTCAAATAAACTTCTGTCTCAATATGGCACCTCCATTTTTAACTGCATTTAGACAAGGAGTACACTGCAGTGACACAAAGTTTTAAGACTCAGTTACAGCTGTTGCAATTAGAATTTATTTTAGTTACTATAATTGCTTTAATGTTTTCTTTCTTGCTTTCTGCTAGGTAATAGCACAGCACCAGAATCTACTAATTTCGAATCCGCAGAACACAATAAACTTTACATTGCTTAGCAATGATAATGGCTTCCTGAACTATTACCCAAATTACTTTACACAAAGAACACTGACTGCAAGGTTTCAGATGAACAATACAAAACCTCCACATGTGCAAATGGTTCGCAAACCAGTGCTCACTGTCATGGGATTGTTGGCTTTATTAGGTAAGATTTTTAACAACATGTAATTTTTTTTTCAAAATTGATCTTCCTTAAAAGTTTATTGAAGTCAAAAATAGTAACCAGGGTTTTACTTTGTTTTATTTTTCTATCTGAAGATGAATCCAAGATCAATTTTGTGGTTAAATTATTTTGAATTGAATTTGAATAGCATTCAAGAGGGAAAGATAGAGAGAATAGGATCAACATGTTCCAGTAGAGAAAATGTGTGGGACCATATACAGCATTGGATTAAAAGATAAAGGGATTGAGAGGGAACATGATTGACTTTTGTAAGATGTCAAGAGGCATAGAAGGATAGATAGGGAGAAACATTTTCACTTGGGGTGGTGGGAATCTGGAACTCACTGCCTAAAGGGGTGGTAAAAGCAGAAACACACATAACATTTAAGAAATATTTAGGTGTGCACTTGCGATACCAAGGCATACGAGGCTATGGGCCAAATGCAGGAGAATGGGATTAGAATAGTTAAGTGGCTGTTTTTAAGTGACATGGATGTAATGGGCCAAAGCACCTCTTTCTGTGCTGTAGTTATCTATGACTCTAATTACGAAAGAGGATAAAATAACTTTAACATATTCCCAAACTTTGTGTACTTCATGACATGGGGTCTTCGCAACACAAACGTCAAAGGACCTAACTTTATTAAATACCTTGTGTGTGTACCATATTGAATACCTTTTAGAAATCCAAATATATTATGTCTACTGGTTCTCTTTTCCCTATCCTACTTCTTATCTCTGGCAAGATGGTGGCAGGGTAAGACACTCCAATCAGAGCTCCTCTGCTCGCCAGTCCCTTTTCCATTTTCCTTTTTATTTTTTTTTCTCCTCTTGTGGAACTTTCCTCCTGCCTCCCCCAATCTTTTAACTACCCCCTACCTGGAGTCAAGGGTGACAAGTCACGACCGGAGACCGGGTGGGACCTGAGTGCATAGGCCATGTCCTGCAGCAGCAGCAGCAAAGTGAGTGTGGACTGAGTCACAAACCAAATTCCCGGAGGGACGACAGCAGAACGAGCATGGCCGGCTGGGTCCCAGAGCAACGGCAGCAGGGGTGTCTCAACTCCTGGAGCTGCATGAAGTGAGGCAAATCCAGGTACAGGGCAACTTACTTTGTTGCCGCAAAGTGCCGGTGAGGAGCGATCTGGAGGCAGGAGTGATGCGGGACAGTTGCTGGACTTTGGCCTAACACCACGTGCTGAACTGCTGCTGTTTGCAACTCTTTACTGGACTGTAACTTAAATCCTTTTCACAACGTTATAAGTACCTAATTCCTAACTCCTTCTCAGACACTGTAAGTGACGCTTATGCTTTCTTTTTAATCCTCTTGTATAACGACGCTATATTTTCTTTACTCTGTAAAATTTATACCTAGGTACTTGTACTTAAGATGGCACCATTAAAAGGCAGCCATTGTAAAAACTTTTCACTGTACTCCTGTACTTCCGTACTGGAGTACAAGTGACAATAAAGGATATTCAATATTCAGTAATACATTTGTCAGGCATAATTTCCCCTTCATGATGCAATGCTGACTCTGCTTGATTATATGATGGATTTCTAAATGCTTTACAACTGTACCCTTTAAAATAGATTCAAACATTTTCCCAGTATCAGATGTTAAGGTAACTGACTTATAGACACTTTTTTTTTGTCTCCCTCCCTTTTGGGATGAGGGTGTTACATTGGCAGTTTTCCAATCCTCTGGAACATTTCCAGAATTTAAGAGTTGTTGCATGCACCATCTTTGTAGCAACTTCCTTTCAAATCTGAGGATGCGAGCCATTGGATCCAGGGATTATTGGTCTTTAGCCCCATTAGTTTCCCTAATAGTTTATCTCTAATGATATTTGTATTTAGTTCCCCCAGCCCCTTGATTAGTTTAATATTTTTGAAATGCTATTGGTGTCCTCTTGGTGAAGGTATAATCGACATAGTCTCAGAGAACCATAGGGTTGCTCTCTCACTGGAGAGTCAACTGGGGTGAGGTTAACCTGAGGGTCGCCACGGGTCAGGCAAGGGATGAAGTTGAGAAGGCAGGACCTTCGTGGTAGCCTGGCCAGTGCGGGAATTGAACCTACGCTGTTGACATCACAAAGCAGCTACCCAGTCACCTGAGCTAACTGAAATCCAGCTGTGAAGACTGTGCAAGTGTTGGTCACCATTTTTACCAACCACCTTGCATTGGCAGCATGCACATAAATAGATAAAAAGGAAGCAGCCAGCCAATCGGTTGATGTTTAAGATATAATCTGCACTCTTCTTTTTACAATAGTTTCAATTAATTAACTGTAGTATTTTAGTTACTGCATCAGTATTCACTAGTTTCCAAGATTTCTCCAGTCCAGCCCTAACTTCAGGTAGCAGCACCTTTACTAATGCATCTGAAAGTCTAGGAGTCCTTCACGCTGCTAGAATCCCATCCCCTGCTAAGGTGTCCTGCAGGTTCTGCTGCTGGAAATTAATGATTCCATCAGGACTCAATTTTCTACCAGTAGTAATCCTACATCGAATTGCATTACTACTTAAATCGGTTCTACATGTGTAAATATGGCCATGTGAGAAAATTATACAGGTTAACAGTGGGTTCACATGGGTGGGCGGTATTTCTAAACCGCCATCCCACCAATTGAAGGGAAATTCAGCTTACTTTTGAAGCGTCATTTAAATCTATGGAGTTAAGACAACGTATAAGGATTGAAAGGCATTTCTGGCTACCAAAGACTACTTCATTAGCATGTGGCAAGTATGGGAATTGAATTTTTTGAAACAGACTGTGAAAGAACAAATCATACATGAGCACTGTATGATTGAAAAATCTCTAGGGGTGGCATTCAAGTTGGAATCCGAATAATATATGAACACACATGAAGACACTATATCCTCAAAGTGATCTACGCTGCTTTTGCACTTCTAAAAATATTTTTGTGCAAATTGGTAGGCTTTTCAGCGAAGTGCATATATGAGCATATAGGTCTCTTTATTATGATTACGTCTTTAAAGCAGATGTAAGCAGTTATCCTGCATGAAAATTTATTTGAAATCCTCAGAACACTTCTCAGTCTGCCCACTTCAACCATATAATTTGGGATAATCAGTGAAGAAAAGCACCATGCTTCAATCTCACCTTACTCTTCGATAGCTTCACTATATGCCTTATAACAAATAACGAATAGCCAAGAAGGAACTCTGATGGGGTACAGCCTCTTACAGAAAATTAGGACCTCTGAATCTTCATAGAGGAAAATATAAATGTTAGGCACAAACTCCTAATTTTGGAGCAGTGTAACTCTGGATGACTTGAGGGAGTTGTTATTAGCACTGAGTGCTAATAATTTGACCCCTGAAACAGCTGTGCTGCAGAACATTTAATACCATCAGCAAGAGTGGCAGGGTAACTTATTGAAAAACCATCCCATTTCTTCCTAGCCTACCTTGGTTACTAGCCAACTCTTCACTGCCTTAAAACAATGCTTGCCCAATTTGTCCTTAATTCAGTGTACATTAATTAATACAGGACATAATTTGATATCCTGCATCTTGGCTACATTGCTCCCCTCGCAACAGTAAATGTAAATATACCAAATAAGATCAGACAGACTATTGGGCCCTTCAAGCCTGCCCTGCCACTCAGCAAAGTCATAGCTGATTTGTTTATGTTTGAATTTCACTTTTCCATCTAGCCACAAGAATCTTTAGATTTTTAGATCTTTAGATTCTTGTTAGGCAAGAACATCTTTTTATTCTGAAAAAGATTCACTGGACTCGAAACATTAACTCTGCTTTCTCTACACAGATGTTTCCAGACCTTCTGAGTTTCTCCAGCAATTTCTGTTTCTTGTTTCAGTTTTCCAGTATCCACAGCTCTATGTTTCATTCAAAAATCTATCTACGTCTGCCCATGTCCACCACCACTTGGGCCAGAGTTCCCAATTTGCACAAACATCTGAGTGAAAAATTAGTCCCCACTCCTGTCTGGAACAGGCAAGCCCCAATTTTAAAGCAGAGCCCCAATTCAGGACTCGCCCATAAAGGAAGCAACCTTTCCATGTCCACCTTTCAGGATCTTATACATTTCAATCAAGCCACCTCTCCCTCTTCTGGACTCCAGTGGAAACAAGCCTAACCAACCTATACTAAAGGACAACCCATTCAATCCGGGTATCAGTCTAATAAACCTCCTGTGAATTGCCTCCACCTTATTTACACTCTTCTTTCAATATGACTAAAACTACACACACTATTCAGTTTGTGATCTAAATAATGCCTTGTGTAACTGAAGCACATTACATGAGCAACCCTTCTGAGGAAGGGTCACCGGACCCGAAACGTTAACTGTTTTTTTCCTTCACAGTTGCTGCCAGACCTGCTGAGCTTTTCCAGCAACTTTTTTTTTTGTTGCAAAAAAACTTACTCCATTTTAATAGCCTCAAAACTCCCACATCTATTACGACTTCTTCCATCCATTGGGCACATACTCTTCAACGTCTAGTCTCAGCTTCAGTTATTTGATCAATAAAGTGTCACATAATGCCTGTCATAAGTCAACCAGTACAAGGGCAACTTCATCTTTAAACTCCACATTCCTTCAATTAGTGGACTATAGAGCAATTTGGACATGGATTCAACTCTTGAATTGAAATCGGCAATATCAGTGACATATCTACATAGAGTCTACAATAGAATCCCTACAGTGTGGAAACAGGCCCTTTGGCCCAACAAGTTCACACCAACCCTTGGAGCATCCCACTCAGACCCATCCCCTTATAACCCACCTAAGCTACACATCCCTGAACACTACGGGCAATTTAATATGGCCAGTCCGCCTAACCTGCACGTCTTTGGACTGTGGGAGGAAACTGGAGAAAACCCACGCAGACACTGACCATTGACCAGGTTAGTGGCTGAGGTTTTGCAATATCACCCTGACATCCCTATAAAGACCACTCAAGTATAACCTGTTTCACCATTTTCTTTAATCTC